AAAACCTAAAATAAAGACAGTCTGCCTGGTCATTATTCTCTTTTGTGAAAAAATGTGTCAAAAAATTGTCTTTTTTATGAAAACTTTTGCCCCTGTATTCAGGAGAAATTAAACTTTCAAAATCTCTCAAGAATTATACATTTTTGCATGTTATAGTTCCTTTAAACTGTGTGAAATAACAAAAAAATATAAAAACAGATTTGAAGTTTAGTCTTTATATGCACTCTAGATGTACAAGTCCAAAGATTTTCAGATGACAACAATATAATTTGAAATAAGATACAGTTTAAAACACAAGCAGTTTTGTTTTACTAGAACTTGTATTTCACCTGTTTCGGCTTGAAAAAGTCTAGTAATGACCAGGCGTTTTTTCTAGGAATGAAACCTTCTGAAGCAGTCGGTTCCCGTCCAATTGAAGGCAGAGTCCAACTCCACACTCTTAACACATCGGTACTTCTAAATGTGCATGTCATCTTGTGTCACCGTCGACAGCTCCGGTTTAGGGTCTGGTAGAGGGCTCAAAGACGTTAAAAATTTAAGAGACCCCACACATGGTGACAAATCCCAATGGATTTTACTGTTTTGGTTGATATTATGTGGCACACAACACATTGACCAACAACTAGTCCACTCTCCAAACTGAGAACCTCAAGTTTCCTACAGTCAAACACAACTTTAGAGTAAACAAACATGGCGAATGATGGGGCAGTTGCTTCCCAGCCACCTGGTACATCCATTGCAGTAACACTTTCTACCCTATTCTTTATTTTATGGCTTTTAGGGCTCCATTCTTGATGCCTAGGGTTAGGGTTATGGTTCTATCCAAGAACTTTTTCACACATGATAGTTTAGGGGACCCAGTGTGACTAGGGAGGGAAATGGAGTTTGTTCAAATTGGACCTCACAGCTCTGGTGCAAATGTGTCATGTTTTTTGTGTCTTTTTCAGTTATCATGCTTCCTGATTGGCTATCATTCCACCTGACGTCCATAACAAATCTGAACTTTTGATTTAAATGGATGACGCCGTTTTGGGTAGTGTTCTGCTTTGCTTTCCCTGCACATCTATGATTTGTGTGGCATTAAAGGTGAGAAGTATTTCTTTCTAACCATTCTGTCAACTTTAGAGACCTTCTGCAGTGATTCAGAAATACCATAGATTATTCTCCTCACAGAAAGAAGAAACTTTTGCCTGAACTTTGTTAACACATGCAAGGACACCTCTGAAGGTGAGGGACTGTCTGCAAGGGGGAATTTCATTAAACCAAAGAAGCAATTACTATATAAGCTTTAGGTAGCAGCATGTTTTCACCCCCTGCTACTGAGGTCAGACATCAACAACATGACCTGCCATGTTCATTAGTGTCAATCAAGAGAGTTTGTAAAGCATAACATAAGACTTGCCTGTGCTTTAAGATGCAGAGAGGGAGAGTCAGATGGAGTAATTGGGTGGCAGTAGGTTGGACATAAGAAGGATTGTGTTGAAGGAATGTTTTAATAAACCGCAGAGGTAGTCAAGCTTGTTCACATTAATACAGCATGTCGAGGTGGCTCCCATGCAAATACAAACCCCCCGGCTGCAGAGAGCACATTATTAGTGGAAACAGGCTGTTATTTAAACACAAGTCAGAGTTACCTTTTAATGAGTTCTGCTGCATGTAGAACAAATGCAAAGACAAGGACGTAGAGTCGGTTGTTTGCTAGCAGTGCAGAGAATTACCATAAAATCTGTTCATTAAGATGCATTTTAATATCTTTATATGTTGAAGAGATACATTTCGTTGTGTGACAGTAATTAACCCAGAAGATGGCGCCCCAAGAAGCAAGGACCTGCTGCGCCGCTTTTTGAGCGGCTTTTATGACTCTGCAGGAGCCTCATTTGTTGGTAGAGCTGTCAATCACGACATCACTTCTCCTCCTTTTAATGACAATTTCCAAAACCAAACCTAAGAGGATGAATGCTTACTCATGAATCATCAAGATGAGATATAACTATCACAACAGAAAACTTTATTTTACATGTTTTTAATGTCCTATTTTGATCAGTTTTATCTGTTACAATAAAGGAGGGCTTTATACCTTTACTTCAGCCAGTCACCAGGGGGAGCTCTGAATGTTTTGTCTTCACTTATACAGACTTAAATCTGCTGCATTACAGCTGCACTTGATTTTCACTTCCATATGCATGACAACAGATTAGACTGCTCAGGCTGTTGACCTTGTCTCAAGTCTATCTCTGCACCATATATCTGGAAATTTGTAGGCTTGCCTATTTTTATACAGATCTAGGCCAAAAAAATTAGAGAAATGTAATGCTAAGGGTTACATTGGCTTTGCATCAGCTACATTTTTGTAACTGGACTAAAAACTAAAGTAGGCTAGGTTTTGAACTATAAGTACAGTCTGTTTCTTGTGTGTAAAGACTGGTCTTGATTTGTGCATTGCTTTTATTATTTTTCTCAAGCAGTGATTTGGTAAATGACTTCAGTAGCAAAGAGCCCTAACAGAAGTACATCCACTGGAAATCTCTGTGATATCTTATGTACCTTTTGAAATGTTCTCCTTCATAATACGTCAGTCCATAATTTACCTCAAGTACATTTCAAAAGTTACATTTCCACAGTGGATTTCAGAGAGGGCGTAAGAGAGTGTTCCTGCTGAGCTAACAGGCTATTTCCTTCAATCAAATTGCCTATTTGATTATTCAGGGAGATTGCATGATTTAAAAGAAGTGGAAATCGCCTCGTCACCACTCAGGAGGCCATTTCCATCATTGAAGCTGCACTAAGTTGATTGTCAAGTGAGTCGAAAAGAACATGTTCATCAAGACTGAAAAATGCTAATCTGCTGGAAAATAGAGATAGATTCTTACTTGTACTGGACATTTGCGGTATGATCCGTTTATTTATGGACCTACAGACATCATGCACACACATAAGCAGAGACAAGGCTTTAGACTGTCCTTGTAACCAAAAGATACATCCTGAAAGAAAGCACTCCCACTCTGTTTATGTGTCTTTTCTTCCACTCAACACCTGGTTGCAAACAAAAAAAAGAAAAACCCTGTTTGGCAAAAAGGGAAAATATCTATGCATTGCTGCACCTGCAGAAACACTGTCCTGTCTCAGTGTCTTTATAATGTTTGATGCAGTAAGATTCATTGAGCAATTTATGGCTGTGATTGTCTGCAGCAGAGTCAATACTGGTCTGTATGTGGTTGGATAATTGTATCTTTACGAGTCATGACTGCAAGCCCTGCACAATAGAAGAGATAACCAACACTGAAACTCACTATAAAGATGCCCCGGCCGGTTCAATCAACTTGTCCTTGCAAACTGTAACAACAAAACACCTTTTATTTTATTTTTTAGAGAATAGACTTCTTATGTTTGTGCCAGAGGATTTCTCTGTACTTCTCTGGCCTTTCCGTTGGCCTGAACCTCCACCACTCAGGGTCACTGCCACCCTCACATATCATCCATGACAACTGTGATGAAAGAGATGCCGACGTGAAATACCACAGATCTCTGTAAGGCTTCATTTCAGGCTTGACAAAAACACAAAAAGACTGAAACTCGCTTTTTTTCTTCTCCATCACGACTGAGTTTGCCAGTGGCTGTTCTGAACTTGACCATAACGCTCTTGGAAAGTCTTTGATGGAAGGACACATGAGACAAGCTGCTGGCTCAGTCCTGGTATATATAGCTTCAGTGCGAGTAGAAATGAAGAAAATAAAGTAAAAAATTTAAACCACTTGAGGAAGGAGAACATTGCTTCTTTCAGGGATGAGTTCAACTGTCTTTTAGGAAAGAAAAGCACCACTCAACACGGAGACTCCAGCGGCTCAAAGCACCTGAAACTGCTGCTGAATGAGGACTCGAGAGGCAACAATGTGTACTATAACTATTGGATTTTAACATCCCACAAATTACCTCAAAGAAAATGCAAAGTTAAACTCCTGAAAAGTAAAAAACATGAGGAACAAAATGAAATTGCAGATCCCTGGTGGTTCTTGGTAATGTCTTGGAAAGGTTTAGTCTCTGTATGACATCCAAACAAGTTGAGCATCAGAGTAAAATGTTGAAAAAAAAAAAAAGATTTTGGTGCTTTTCAAATTAAGAAAAATTGGGCATTTCTTTTGGAAGTCATGGACAGCATGTCCTTTTCTTTAAAATAGAGAGGGAATATGCAAGATCTTCCTTTTTCATTCATACACTATCACCAAAAACAAGCTATATAATCCCATCATTTTGAAGCTAAGAATATGGCATCCATGATTTCCAAAAAGAATGTAAAGTTCTGATTCCTCAGACCACAGGACAGTTTTCCAGTTTGTCTTGATCCAACCCAAATGAGAATGAATATGTCTCCTCTTTGCATGGAACATTTTTTTTGTGTTTTGAGCCCATGCAATAATCCCCACTAAAGAGTCACAGTCATTTTTCATGCAGTTCTGCCTGAAGGTGCAAAGATCACAGCTATCCGGTGTTGGTTTTCAGTCTTTTTCGTACAAGGATTTCTCCATCTTTTCTTAATCTTGTAATGATTTAATGTGTCCTACTGTTGATGATGAGACTGTATCCTAATTGAAAGGTTGGCTCTTTTAAAGGACCCGTCCTTTTTAAACAGTAGCTAGTTTACATGGGCACAAAAAAATCCTAATAGATGCCCGATCAGAATAAAAATGCATCATATAAACATGTTTATCGGAGGATTCAGATCCAATTTGGCTCAATCGTAAAGAAATTGTAATCTGGTCGAGAGGGGTGGTTTACACCGATCGTTATTCCAAATCGGTCCATGTCAACACTTACATAAACACTTACACTTACATTCTGACTGTGACTCTCTAACCTGACTTGATCTTCACTCTTTTGCCTTTGGCTTAATTATTGAGGTCAGTACAGGAGGTTCCATTATTAACACTTTGGAATAAATTATTTGATTTTGCGCCCATATAAACAGTAGATTCAGATTATCCAATCCCTAAAATTTTCAATTAGATCAAGAAATTTTCAACATGTAAACATGGCTACTCACTGGCATGTCCATTGAGTCTAACTGGGTAGTGCTCGGCCACCTGAAAGTACACTATATTCTTTAAACTGACATGCAAAGAACCACAAGACATGTTGGACTGTGAAGGATACACCCAAATACACTTGAAGCCCAAGTTAAGTGTCATGCTTTTGAAAGAGCGTCCAAAACAGGACAGCCTTTGGTGTGCTGCTGGGATGCAAATGGTTAAATGAACCTTTTGAAGGATGCAAGTCCTGTATTGAAACGCACTCATATTTTATAAAGGCAGGCAACAAACCGCAAATCAATAGCTGCTGCTTCAAGCTGTCCCAAAAGAGCATGTGTATATTTTTCAACCTATCTCCAAGAGCAGACTTTTTTTAGAAACTTTGATGAGTTAAGTTCAACTCAGACTGTAAAAGTGGAGAGATGAAAATTGCATTCAGAAAAATGAATGTACGTCCCTTGTTTACCTGGAAATGACACTCTTAATAGCAGCAACAGCACTGGCTGTTCCATAAGTTTGTATTGTTTCTGAGTGCCTCTATAAACTGAGAGAAAAATATGCAAATGTTAGTCGAGTGTGAAATGTTTATTCTTTGTAATGAGTCCTGACATAAAGAAAAACACACAAAGCATTAAATTAAAGTGTTCAGTATTTGTTGGCTGGTTTATAATGCAGAAAGCTGAAAATAAAAGCATTATTTCCCCTCAGTGCCGTTATTATCCGGAGTATAAATCCCCTTTGAAAGTGGATTATAATTAATGTGTTGGTAGAGGGACTCTGACCAGCACAGTTTCCCTTAAAAGTCCACTTTCCTCTGTTTTCTCTGGGCTATTAGCTCTGAAATAATTATTTGCATTGGTTTTTCTTACTTGGGCTACGTGGCCTTTCTCCCAAGGATCTGTTTCATCACAGTGAGTCTAGCCTCAGGCGCTCCTTTTCTCCAGTCAAGTGTGCTCCAGACCAGGCATGCGTTTCATGCGATAGACTTTGAACATAGAGATGAAGGATTTTTCTTTTTAAAATAGGCAGAAATTTTTCTCCCAGTCAGGGAATATTGCTGCAATATCTCCCTCTAAATTTCTCTCAATGACACTCAAACCTTGGTAAATAAATAATGGTACTTGTGAGACTTCTAGCTGTGAACTTGGTGTTTATTAGCCACTCAGACAGTTGGGAAAAAGCAGCCAACACCAAGGCTAGAGTGTCCCCTGCCAGCAGCAAAATGATCACATTATGTCTCCACCCACCGCCTCCATCTTTGTCCTCTCCACCACAGTCATTACATCCCAATGATCCTCACTGAGTCCAATCTTCCTGTCTCTCACCCCTCCTGCCAAAGTGCCTCTCTCAGTAGCGGTAATTCTCATTAATTATCACTGCAGGCGTGTTCCAGTGCCACAGAGCCCCAGGTGGCGAGCCTCGGTCAAACACGCTCCTGGTGAGGGGAGAGTTGAGAGTCGCTGGGAAAGGCGGGGAGTCAGAGGTCTTCACCACCCACTCCAGCGCAGGGGTTTAACTTTGACTGGGAGGTGGAGGCAGATTAATGGTTCGGTCCCTCTGATTGCAGAGAAGGAGTCAGCTCCTCTCTATCATTTGGAGATGCTTATTATTTGTGGCAACATTTCATGTCATTTATTTTTATCTGAACATGGACACATATTAGACTTTTCTCTAAAATTAGAGCCCATCAGAGTAGAAATGTCTATTTAGCATCATTTAGATAATGAAACACAGGGACAGCATAAAACATCATTTCAAACACACATTATGACACCGTACACACAACCCCAGATAAGAGATAAATACTACTGATGACTAATACCATTTCTAATGACTATGAAACTGCCGAAATTGAAGGAGGGGATAATGCGGCTCGATATGGAAATTAGGAGTCAAACCCCCCAAAGGGATTCTGATGTCCATGACTTCCTGTTCACCAAAACACTCACTCCAACTCAAACACAACCACATAGAACAAAACACATGAGTATGATTGGGTTTTTCATCAATGCATTATTGCCAGGTTCCACCTTTTGTGTGCGTTTTCTCAATCATGACGATACACATATCAGTATTTCTACTTTGGTATTTGCACACAGTGCAAGTCTATTTTCAGGTGCCCAGAGTATTATGCTGTGTTTCAGTTGTACTCGGAAGTCGGAATTTTCAAGCTCCGAGGAAGAAATTAATCTGGAACGCCCCCCTGAAGTCAGATTTCCGACTTGGAAAGTTGGACAGTTCTCACCAACCCCAACTTGACGACAACGTCATAATCCAAGATGGCAGCGCAGTGCATCAACAGTAAAGAGTAATAGTGAAAGCTCTCGTAATGTATTAATTATTAGCACTTCTGTTTTGTTTTTGTGAAATTAAATAAGTGGTATATGTTGTATTGGCCAATGTCTAACTGTGAACACGGTGCTGTGGTGTTTGCAAGAGTAAAATACTGTGTTATATGTTTTTAACAACAACTAACAACAGCTGACAACCGCTAACAACAACTGACGACAGCTAACAATGGCTGACAACCACTAACAACAACTGGCGACAGCTAACGACAGCTGACAATTGTAAACAATAGCTAACAACAGCTAACTGTAGGTGTCCATCTTGGTTTTCCGACTTGTTAACTGAAACGCCGTCAACTCGGGTATAACGTCATTCACAGCTCCAACATCCGACTTCCGAGGTAACTTGAACGCAGCATTTGTCCCTTTGTACTGTCTTAAGGCTGAAACTCTCCTGAAGCACATTGTAGCAATCGCTGAAGTTGCAGATAAAGCAAAAGTTAGTTGTGGACTGCAGTCGCTTCAGTATGTTGTGTTACAGCAGGCCAAATGATCATGTATGCACAGGTGGAAAGAGGAGAGCAGGGAGAGGAGCAGGAGGAGGTAGGATTATCTGTGTGACACTGACTAAAGAGAGTGATATAAGTCTAAGTCTTGGTGTTATGTTGATGCTGGCTTAAAAAGGCAGAATTTCCTATTTTTTGTTTGACTTTTTAATGTCTAACAGTGTGTCAACAATGTGTGAATGTTTCCCCACTCTCGTTCAAGTAAATCCACACACACACACACCAATCTAATATTACTATAAAATATTTGCAGTCTTTGCCCAAGGCTAAATAGTGTCACAGCACGTCAGAGCAAAATGACACAAACTATGAGGATTAGACAAACGCTCATTCTAGACAAAGTGGCAGATAACACGGCGAGGGGAAAAACAACCCTGGAGGATTAGAAAAGTGTAAGCTCTCCTGGGAAGATGATGAAACTCCGGATAATAGCCGAATCCAATCTGCATCGGCAGCTTCATAATCCCTCACCTTTTGGCCCCTTTCCCCACAAGGAGGGGATGCTTTCCCTCGTCGCAGTGACAGCATCAACATCTCCCGAATGCAAGACGTGCCTGAAGGGCCACAGCGTCTCATCAAAAAGTCGATAAGCAACCCGGTAAAGAGGTGGGGACTGTTTATCACATTTTTGCAACCTGTTTGTTTACATATGTGCAGCTGACACTTTCTTCTCATTTGTTTTTTGCGATTTGAACTCGAACTTTCCCAAAGACACTCTTTCTGGTGAGGCTGCAAAGCGGCCACCTGTCACATATCAGCACTAAACCCTGTGGGGGAAAATATCTGGTGAAATGAGACATACAAATCTAAATCCAGCGGTTCAGCTGATATGCAGCAGCGGATAATTATTCAGTTATGCATATTAGAATCACAAAAATGATAGCTTGGGGCAGACAATCTCTTCTTGTAGCACTGATAAGCAGATGTGGACCATTGGCACATGGATACAAGTTAAGGTGGCAATACAGTATGAGCAGCAGCAGCAGCAGACAGTATAACAGCAGCTCAGTGATTTAGATATAATTATGATATGAGGAATCGTATGGAAGCTGTCATATTGTCACATCAGTTTGAGGTGAAATGCTTTCGAATGCTGTGAATGAATGAATACTAAATGTAGAGAGGAAATACGTATGAGAAGCCATCCAGACGGCATGTTTTTATATGCAAATCTGACTCAGAAATCATTTTTATGGGCCTGTCATGTGCGAGACAACCATCTCTACAACCTTAAAGCCAACAAACTCGGATCTAATTTCATAGTAAGCCAATAGATACGCCCTTAAAATGCCAACATGTGTTAAAATCTGCAGCCGGATCGCTTTAAAACGCTCACGCATCATAATTCAACAGATTGCAACAAAGCACCGAGCCAATCAACCAGCGAAAGAAAAATGAGCATACCGATGAAAAAGTGCACATGAGCACATGAACGGCGGCATTATTTAACACATAACGAGGCAGAAGACACACAGATACGAACCATAAAACATCCGAGAGAACACAACAGCAGCAAGCCATCACAGCACAGCTCCAATATGATGAATACACCCACTTTCAATATTCAGACAGGGAAGCAGTAAACACTTACCTTGATGAAGCGCTCGTTTATCTTGTGAACCACATATGTGCAGTGATAGAGCGGGAATGAATCAAAATAACCTTTAACAACCTTTAGACATTCACCGAGATGCCAGCAGCGACCAAAGTCATAAAAGAGAAACATATAGACGCACAAATGCTTGCAGTGATTTACAGTGCACCCTTAACTTCTTATTTTAGGTCAACAGCTGCAAGACGAAGTGAGTTGCGCATCAACATTAAACTGTTAAACTCAAACAAAACACATAAGGAATCAAATCACACCACATCAAAACGCCTTGCAACTTCGTCTCTCCACACCTGTTACTCTTTACCTGTCCACCAGATGCAGCTCTGGTCGACCTCGCCCACATCCACCTGCTCATACACCTGCCTCTCATTTAAAGTTAGCTCATCAGCATGTTACTCAGGTCCGTTACTGCACTCAACTGAACTTTCAAATATCAAAACAGAAAAAGTTAATATTAAACTATTCGTTGAATGATGCAAAATTGGGATAAATGCCTCCATGTTTTCCCCAAAGGGCATTAAACCAAACTTCAAAATGTTTGTTTTTTTATCCAATAATCAGCTCAAATGAAATCACAATAAATTCATGACAATAACTAAAGGCAAGAAAACAAATCCTTGAATCTGTGAAGCTGGAGCTGTGAAACTGCAAAGTATAATTGGATTAAAATGGTTTGAATCACCACCCAAAAAGTTTCCTGTTTTATCAGCGTTCTTTCAGATTAAATACTTTTTGGTTTTTCATTTTTTGCCAAAAATTTAACTCTTATCAAATTTCACATGTGGAAAAATCTTTAAAGCTTAATTTCAAATGACTATGGTGCAAAATGTCTCTTATAAACCCCGCTCAGAAAGTTGAAGAAACAACCAAAGCAGCTCACTCTCATTTTGATTGGCTGGTTTGTCATATTTTGGGCTGTCTCTACCTAAAACCTGCCTGTCTGTACCTGTGGATGATCCTCTTCTGTTTGGACCTGCGGCCTTTTGTCTATGAGCTTTTGTGCCATTTTCATACCATTTACATCCTCTCTCTCTCTCTGTCTGCCTTGTGAATCCCTCGCTGCCTCGTACACACTCCTGTGACATCAGTACATCTGTGGTTTGAGGCGAGTGTTTTGATAAGGCCTCAGAGTACATTGCAAACATGATTATTCTGCACCGTTCCTGCACAAAGCCGTCCTGAAGCGATACGATTGTACCGGCAGGATAGTTTGCTTATGAATGCTACATGAGGAACAGCTGCACAATTTGCAAATGCAGCTTTGCAAGAATGAGCAGAGCATTCACAGATCTGAATATACTTCCTTGTTGCAGAGGCTGTTCTAAATGGGTCCACTTTACCTAAGTGTCTGTGTATTTCTTGTGTATAAATGGTTTATAATAAGACCTGCTGAGTCTGTCAAAAAACTGGATCAAGGTTTCTCTGGTTCAAGATCATCCCGATCTTAGACATCTGCAAAAAAAAAAAAAAAATGCTACAAATTTACAACATTAATCATTTAATTAGTTTTATATGAAAGTAAACCCAAAATCGCTAAAAAATATCCACAAAAGTAAGGAGGCCAGAAATCAAAACTGGATGCTATGACTTTCAGGACCACTAGGGGGAGTGGATTATATACAAATATGACAGTAAATGAAGTCACAAGGATATAAACATGACTCTGTAGTAGAAGTTGCTGCATAGACTGCATAAGATACAAACATGACTCTGTAGTGGAAGTCGCCACATTGTCATGATATGTTCTGTTTATTTAGTGATTCCCTGTGATTTGAGTGTATTTGTGTTGTATTTCCCCTAGTGTTTCTGTTCCTTATTGTTCCGGTTCCCCTGTAGTCCTGTCTTGTGAGTTTGCAGTTTGTGTCTGACCCTGTTTCCCTCATGTTCTCAGTATTTTATTCCTTATATCTGTGTTCAGTGTTTACTGTTTTATTTTGTAGTAGTTTATTCCCTGTGTTTCTAGTCTTGTTTTACTTCCTCAGTTTTTTGTACTTAGTTATTGTCTGCACCTGTGTCTTGTCTGTCTCACCTGTTGCTCATTTCCCTGTGTATATATAGTCCTTATCTTCCCCTATTTCTTTGTTGGTTCATTGTGTGGCATGTCTGTGTGTGTATGCCAGTGTCTTCAGTGTCTCCTGCGTCTCCATGTGGTTTTTCCCCCCAGTGCCTTTGTTGGATTTTGTATATTTTGCTGGACATATTTGGAGAAGAGTTTTTGTTGTTTTAGTTATTTTTCATTAAATCACTTTTTGTTCTGCAATTGGGTCTTTTTTTCTGTTTTTCAACTTCGCCATCATGACATATCTTAAATCACAGAGAAACTCCAAATAAACAGAACATATCATGACACACATGGGCTGCATAAGATACAAACATGACATAGTGCAGTGGTTCTCAATCCAGTCCCCGAGGCCCCCCTGTCCTGCAGGTCCCTGCTCCAACACACCTGATTCAAATGATCAGCTCGTTATCAAGCTCTGTAATGGCTAACGAGCTGATCATTTGGAGCAGGGAAACAGGACTAGATTGAGAACCACTGACGTAGTGGAAGTTGCTACATAGGCTGCATTACATAAAATATGGCTGGTATCTTGGATCAAGAAAGAAAAGAACAACATTTCACTTCTGATACTCCAGAAACTGAATCCCAAACAAGTACAGAATTGTTGAAGACGAGGTGATACAACACAATGAGAAGTGGGGCTCTGTCCCAACTCTTTTGAAACTTGCTGCTTCATCAAACTTAAGCTAAGGATGTATTTTTGATACAAAATAAAAATGTAGAATTTTAAGTTTTGATGTTTTCACACTTCCTTCAATTCAATATACATAAATTGAAAATTTTTTAACGAGTGAAGAGTTTTGCCTGCAGCTGTAGTAAAAACACAGGTCAGCAGCTTCTGTCTCTTTACAGCCTGAATCTTGATTTTCTAAATTATAAACAACATTTCCTTATTTAACTTCCTGCCACGGGCTGTTTCAGAGCGTATTTTCATCACGTCATGTGAAGTTGGTGAATCACAGAAGACCAGCTTTGAGTTAAATTCCAGAAATGAGACTTTAAAGAGCTGAAACCAGCCCAAGAAAAGATCATTCTTGTTTAATTGAAGTCCTTTTGTGAAACCAAACAAGTGTTCATCTTCCTCTACAGTAAATATATGTTTTCTCACTTTCTCTCACTCTGTCAAATCATGCTATTTCTGAAGTACTTTTAAAAGAAAATATATATACACACTGATGGCTGCTCAATTTGTCTTCCCCAGCTGGTACGTCATATTTCATTCTCTGGGATTTTACTGCTTATTATTTAACTATTAGCTGAATTCAGACACGGGCATAAAAACAATTTAAGTGAAGGATATATGTGAGCAAGAAGAGAAAATCTAACTCGGAGTAAGAGCCGCAGTGATAAGTTGGATTTATTTATTGGCTGTCGGCTATTAAATTTCATGCCAGCTATTTTGGAGATGAATTATCTTCTTTTCTTTCCAAATTAACTGACTTTAAGCTTTCCTGATATAATTATGATCTGTTTTTTCCTCTGCTGGTTAAGGGCCTGATGCACAAAAGGATTGCATGGCTTTTGCACCTGCTTAATTCTGCAGATGAAATAAAAAGGGAAGCATATGCCGAGCAAATTGCACATAATGATTAAAATTGTAACTCAGAGTTACACTAGGCTGGAACTGTTTTCTACAGTGAAGATGGTCTGAAACAGTTACATATGAAGTTGCTCTCACTAAGAGGTCCAGTATCCATCAAGCTGATCACACATGTATGCGGACAGATTTCGGCTCAGTCAGGATGAGAGTGTACATTGCAGCTCTGCGCCACATGGAACAGAGGTGGAACAGCAAACTGCTCCCAACTGCAGGACCATGTGGAGTGAGGTGATGTGCAATTCAACTGAACAATTATCATAAGTATTGCCTTGATGGAGGTAGTCCACATTTACTCTAAAGTATCTCTCATATTTCACCTGCAGACACTTAAAAAGTTAAACTTTACTCCAAAAATTGCAATTAACATAATAAATGAAGCATAGAAGTACAGATTTGGTGGTCAATTTAGAGGGTCTTTGTAAGTGTTTAGACATTATGTGTTCCTGTCCTCTTCCTTACGCTAACTCAAGGGGAGTTGTATTGATCTTAATTTACACATCTGACATTTACCTTTTGTTTATCCACATGTTTTCAACACAAAGACAAAAGCGGGTGATAATGATAAAGTTTTGTTATCCTCAGCACAACTTTAATGTTGTTATTTTCAACAACATGATTACTTGTAGCTCTGACAGCTGTAGATTAATATTGTTTCTTCAGCACAAGAGCTTTACACAAAAGCCTGACCTTATAAAAATTGAGATACATCAGAAAGTAATCACCCATATACCCTGGAGGAGCTGTAGCTCTACAAACAGCCATTAAGAGAGCTGACAGTTACACAAACCTTTTCAATTACTTTACAATCTAACAACTCTGATAGCAACATTGTTATAACATGTTTTTTATTTTTTAATAGATGTTTCATAAAACCACAGAATCTTTTGGCTGAGGCCTGGATTTTCAGCATCTCACCGGGATCCTTTTGTTGCATCTTTGCTGCTCAAGTTGCATTGACTAGTCAAGTATCAGCAGGCTTCAGTGTGTGTGTGCAGGAAAAACTGTGGGGAGAGCAAAAGCAGGAGGAATGCAATACAAGGGAACATCCCAGATCTTATCTGCAATAAACTGGCAATGATTCATTTACATCCATTAACAGATGACTGCATTGCATTGCAGCAAACATCTTGTTCAAGGTCAAAAATTTTAATTTAAAGCAACAAATCAACAAGTTAGCCGCGTGAAACTGGGGCTCTCCAGATTCATATGATTCCAAGAACACAGAATAAACAATTTCTTTCTAGAAACTAAAGACCTGAAACATATTGTCTCTTTCTATTTGCATTTTAATGGAAACTTTGCTTACTGCGCTTCAAGTATTCATGGGTGATGATTTCCCATCAACCAAAGATGCATGCCTTTGTTTTCCAGCCAAAGATCCTCTACTTGGAAAGAGAACACTCAAGGTTAAAGCAAATTTGTTTTCCTTCCCCACACCCAAACCAAGCTCTGGCTTGATGACGTTGACATTGAACACAGCGGTCACTCCATTGCTTTTGTGGATTGGAATTAAATGAGTTTTAAGACACTGTGTTCCCAGTTTCTCTGTGGTTATCTGGTGGAATGTAATACTGAACAGCCAAGCATCACTGTGCAATTTGAGAGAAAAGCCCTCATTGTTTTTTAAGGGATGCTGAGAGTTTGCATGATCGCATTCAAACAAAGGAAGTATTCATTGGTTTACAGATTTACAGCCAGTAGAGCATTAATTGGTTAAATAATCTGATAACTTTGAGCCTTCAAAAGAAAATTTCACCAGTCTCATGACTGTGCTGTTTCATGGTGAACTGAGACGGATTTTGGTGGTGAAATTTGTACTTCACTTTTCCCAACAACAGTTACTCAACAAGCTTTTATTACATTTTATTGTTGACCCTTATTATTATAGAGATTTTTTATAGACCTGCAGGGCTGCATCTCCAAGTTCTTTAAATCAAGTTAAGTTTCAACTGAGGCGAGCTGGCTGGCCAATCAACATCAGCAGTTTCATATATATATATATATATATATATTCATATATATAATTTGCAACACAATAAATATGACTGTTGTGTAAAGAGTAACTTATCAGAAGACATTTTGACTATAATTATTAGGTATTTGAGTTATTGTTGCTTAGACTTTGCTTTCTTTCAAGTAACCTCCTCTGGCTTTAACAGCTTGGCATATACCAGGCATTTGTTCCACAAATTTTTAAGGTATGTTCCAGGGATTGCATTCCAGGCTTTCTTCAGTTCATTAAAAAGAGACTGCTGATTCGTGGGACGCGTTTTTCTGACCGATCGATCCAATTCATCCCGCACAAGCTCAATTGGAGGAAGGTCTGGAGACTGAGGAGGCCAAACCATCTTTTGAAGAACACCTCCCTCTTCTTTTTTGTCTCGGTAACCCTGACAGAGCTTGGCAGAGTGCTTAGGGTCATTGTCTTGCTGCAAAACAAACTTATGAGCCACAAGTCTGAGTCCAGATGGAACAGCATGGTGCTGGAGGATGGAGTGGTACTGTTCCTTCTTCATGATACCCTTTACTTCAACCAAATCTCCTACTCTATCACCTGCAAAACATCCCCATACCATGGAACTACCACATCCATGCTGAATTGTGGGTGTAACACATGGTGCTTTCAGAAGTTAGGCTCTGCGTTTTGAACCAAACAGTGCAAACTTGTTTCTCGTCATCATAAGTCCAATTTTTGTGAGCTTTTGCCCACTCATATCTCTTTTTCTTTCTCTGTGGATGAAGTAATGGTTTTTTTGCAGATACACAACCCTTCAGACCAGCCTTTCTCAAACGTCATTTCATGGTTGTCAGAGATATGGGTTTCGACCTTGTCATGTTGATTTCTTCCCTTATTTGTGGTGCTGTCTTTCGACGATCTCTTTTACTGATGACAATGATATGTTTATCCTCTGCTTTAGTAGTGACCCTCTTTCTTTCAGGCCTTTTTCTATCATCATAACTTTCAGGTTGCTCTAGTCTCTTCAGAGTGTAGTGGACTCCTATGTTAAACACCTTTAGGCGTTTTGCAATTTCTCTTTCTGTGTATCCTTCTTTCCTCAATGTACAAATCTGTACTTTTGTTTCTTGACTCAGTTGCTTCTTTCTAGCAATTTCTGCGGTATTTTAAATGCAGTTGAGATTTATTAGGATTTTTGTATGCAGACTCTCAAAAGCCGAAAAGTTGAAGTGAATAATCCAATTGTGATTTGTTTTTTGGCTTTTGCACTGAAGTTGTGACTCTTGCAAATGTTTTCAACCCTAAAACTAAGCCCTTATCTTTTGCTGACATATATATAGCAGTGGTCTGTTAACATCAATGTATATCTAAAGGTAAATAGAGCAAAATGGTGCATGTTCATGAAAGCAGCATCTGATCATGGAGTAAATACATCCCAAAATACATTAAACTCATGCTGGGTTTAAAAAAAGAGCATTGTGAACAAAAACTTGAAGTTACTCCCAACTGTTCGGCCTGTAATGGCCTTGCTTCCAAACTTTTGGCTTGTAGTGTATATTTATATGAATAAATATACCCCATATTAGCTGAAAATATATACTCTATAGGTGTTATTTTAACTGTTTTTATTCAGCTCTGTTACTTGGGACCTACTGAAAGTAGTATACTTTAAACTAAAAACAACCCAAACGTAAGACATAGTTAAATGTCAAAATAAAAGCATGACAAACATCTTTTTTTATGTGGGAATGTCTTCTGAAATGTTGCATTCATGACCTGCAAAGTTCAACCATTACGCACCAACATGAATCAGAGTTAATGTTCGTTTAACAGCTGACATGTGAGTGCCAAAGGCTTAGAGGGCATCTTAGCCTGTTTTTAAGAAAGGTGGCACCACCCTCTTCAAAAGTCAGCAGTAGAGCTTAGAAGTAATGTGATCTATATGCAAATTTATACTTTAAAAAAACAAGAAATATCCTTTATGATGAGCTACATATGCATCCTAGGTTCATTTTAAGCTTCATAGACTATTTTCAAACTTTACAAGGAAATCTGCCAAAGTCAAATCCATCTAATCCATGTGCCGTTTGTTGCAGACATCTTACTTTGTGTTTGATACAGCTATCTTGTTCCAGTGTGGAAGTCAAACGTATCAAGCAGCAGTAGCCAATTGAAATCCCTCATGCTCATGTTGTGATTGCAGGCAGTATAAATACAACGAGCTGTGTCACTCTAGCTTACTTGGCTTGCAGGGAGCCCAGGTCGCTGTGCAGCTTGACGGCCTCATCCCTGACTCATTCCTCCGCTGAGTGCACAGCAAGGTTATGTCATTCCAGCAGGCATACACACTGTGCAGGAAAGGCTTCTGCCAGTCCGCATCACAGCCACGCAGCTGCTGTTTGGATGAGCACAGCTTATGCTCTCCATCCTCCTTCTCTCTCTGAGTTATTTTCACTCCAGTGTGAGGCTGTCTACAAGGCTGTGGTCGCCCCACTCTTATTTCCCTGCAGTGTTAGTGAGATCATGAACAGTGAGTACGATGCTGAATTAAACACCCAACAAACTGCATATTTTATCACATCAAAGATCCTTAAATAAGGGCTAAATTAGGAGGGGCTGTATGTGTTTACTTGTTTTACCTCCAGCTGACTTAAGCCAAATTTAAATCTCTATTAGCACATTTACATTAACCATTATTTGGTATTCCTTTAGTGATTTTACTTTTTATTTTACCCCCTTTTCACCTGTGATATTTCTTGTAAGACACAAAATAGGTGTTTTAAGGGACTCTAGGTTAATACAGCAGGATAAAAGTGGTGGTCCATTAAACTGCCTCTTTTTAAAACACCTGTAAGGAGTTTTTCATCAGGTAGGAAATTTGATAAAAATTAAAGTGAGGCTATGACCTGCAAAATAAAACCAGATTACCGGCAAAAGATATTTTTAATGTCTGTAAATGCTTGTACAAGACAAGCATAACAAATAAGTATCTCTGACCACAGGGGGCGCCAAAGTCAATGCAAAAAAAGAGGTCCTCATGGGAGCTTTTATATGCCATGTTGTAAGATCATTTTAGTGTTTGTAAAAAGTATGACGTTGTTGTGTGGAGGGGGGTTAGCTGGTGGTGATAATCCATGATCAACCATTTGGTGGAAGTTTTGGCGTTGTGAACAAGTGCTTTTTACACAGAACTGGCTATAAAATTAAGAGGTGCTTTAGGGAAAATAAAGATGTTTGATCAGCAGCAGGTTGAAGGATGATAGACTTCCTTGAAAAGAGCACACCAAATTTCTTAACTTGTATGGTTGATGACTTTTTGGTGCAAGTTAAGTAATAGAACAGGTTAATGACAGAGTGCAAAGTCAGGATTATTGTCACTCCTGCTTTACTATTCAAATACTTGTAGTTCCACACCCTCCTAAATCACCGAAAAGGATGGAAAATATATGACTGCATCCACCTCACATGGAAACCAATTTGAATGCATTTGAATAAATCCAAAGAATAAACAAATTCATCATCCCCCAGCAGAATGATGGATGATCCAAAACTAATTCCCTTTCATGGTAAATAAATAACGAGCGAATGTACAATGCTTGTTATTTTCAGGCTTGACAACCACTATTACAATCCTCTGTTGTTATTCCCATCCATTACCCTTGAAAGTGAAAGGCATTGAAAAGCCTGACACATGGCCATGACCACGAAGAAGATGAGACAGTCCTTATAAAAATACCCAAAAGGTACCAGGAGTGCCGGCAGCTGTGACAGGCTCTGCTGCCGCCTGGAACGCTTGATGAAAACAGTGCTGCACTTGACTACCAATCCACCACCACCCTTGGGAGAGGGTGTAGATTTTGAATGAGCTTGATACCCACTGAATGAGAAATAAATGCCTCTCTTAAGTACCTGTCAGCAATGCAAGCGGCGCAGCAGCTGTGTTACGCTTCATTCAAAGCTTTTTCAAGCATCTTTGGCTGAATACAAGGATGCAGAGGTTATTGAATGAGCTCATAAAAAAGGTAAACGCTCACATAAATACATGACAGATTACATTTTCATTTGACTTTTTAGACATTTAGCCGGCACTCTAATCCGGAGAAATTCAAAGCACGAGGAGCAGTAGAACAACCTTGAATTGCCACATTACGCCCAAAGAAACGGGAGAATAAAGATATAATGAAGATCCATTGATACTGAAATACACATAGACAGGACACACATGCCATGGTTGTAATAGCTAAACAAAATTAAGGTTACATTTTGAAATAATGAAAACGACAACCATCAGAAAAAGCCAATTAATTTTTATTCAAGATTTGTTAAGCTGTTCTAGCAGTGACTCCTGAGTGAGTTCCAATTTCTTGCAGTTGGGCAGAACTTTTAGAGTTCAGGTCAGTCAGTGAAAATCAAGCCTGCTAAGAGGAGTGGAAAGTTGTGCTTTAAAGGGAGCTT